TCTTTCAGAATTCTTTTTCTTTGCATTGCTGTTGTCCTCATATAAACTGGTCTCTTGGTTCTGCTTATTTCACTCTGCCTCAGTTCATACAACCCAGGATTCTTTGAAATTGTCTCTTTTATCATTTCTTACAGTACAATAATATTCCATTACATTCATATATCACAGTTTGTTCAGCCATTCCTAATTGATGGGCACCCTCCTACATTCTAGTTCTTTTTTCTTTTTAACTCCCAATTCAGGATTAGGAAGATTGTCTATCTTTCAACTCTTCCCTCCCTGATATTATCTTCCCTCTTGATACCTCAACATGCTAAGCTTGTTATATTTCTACACTATACTGTCAGTGCTCCTTTTTCTGTTCCAGGTAAGAGTGACATTCATCTACTGACCATTCTCCTACTCCTTCCATATTGGTATACTCTTTTCGTGTACCCTAATTATGAGAAATAGCTAGTTCCACCAATTCTTCATTCTTTTTGCACCAATATATTCCTTTTGTCCTCCCTTCTTTTTTGCCCTCTTAAAATCTTCAGACCAGAACCAATCCTCCCCTACTTGGATCCTCTGTTTTTCACATTTTACTCCTTCAATACTTTTTGAAGACATTCAGGTTCTGAAGGGACACTTTTTTCTTTTCCCGTTATTTGAATTATATATCACCATAGTGCCCTTTCCAATTGCTCAAATAAAAGTACCTTCCTAGGTTTTTCTCGCGTTTTTATTTCATAGCATCCATGCAGCTCTGTCTTTTCATTAGAAATACTCTCTTCCATTCCTCCATGTTTTCCTCCTATAGGATTATACTCAGCTTTGGAGGGTTAAGTATTCTTGGTTGTAAGCCTAGGTGTTTTGGAATATTGTTTTTCAAGATTTCCTCTAAGTATAGTAGAATCTGCCAGATCTTATGTGGTCCTGTTGTTTCTTGACACTTAAACTGTTGGGTTATTATTTTTTTTTATGCTACAGTACTTTTGTTTTGATGTATGAATTTTCGATTTTGGCTATGACATTCCTTGGACTTTGCATGGGGGGGGTTCCTTTCAGAAAGTGATTGATATATTCTGTCTTCACTTTGCTCTCTGATTATAATAGATATGAGCGAATTTCATTTATGATTTCTTAAAATGTAATATCCAGGTTTTTAAAATTATAGTTTTCACATAGTCCAATTATCTCTCCCTAAACTGTCTTTAATATCACTTGTTCTGATATCAGATGTCTTACATTTTCTTCTAATTTTTTCAGTCTTTTGATTTTGTTTTCATATTTCTTCCTGTCTTCCAGATTCACTGATTTCTGTTTGAGGTATTTTATTTTAGGAATAATGTCACGTGGGCAAGATATTTCTTTTCTAAGCTATTTATTCTAATTATTTCCTCCAGAGCTTTTATTTCATTTTTATCTCTTGCTTCATTTTCCCTAGATATTCATATAGTTCTTGTGCAAAATTCCTTTTTTCCCCTTTAAAAAGGAATTGCTTTTGCCGTTGTAACGGAGGTACTTGATCCTTCTTTTGGAGGATCTCTACATCTCTAGTCATTTTTTTATGGGTCAGTGTTTTATTTTATTTACTTATCTCTCCTCAGTTCCTGAAGTGAGGCTTTACATTGAAGAAGGCAGGGAACAAGCATTTGTTAAGGCCAGCCTTTGCCCCCAGCTAAGCTCTGGGTTGGGGTGGTTGGTCCTGCGTGGCCTCACTCTAGGTCACCTGGGTTCCTATGATGACCTCTGCCTCTTGGGGGGAGGCTCCCCCCAAGGATCTCCGGAGTCCGGAGTACTGGATCTTCAGGGCTCTCTGTGGCCTCTCAGCGCCAAGAGTAGGGACTCTGGTCCTTAGGCCCTTGAGCTGCTGTGCCATCTTGACTGCTGCAGTTCCCTGGAATTTCCAGGGTTCTCACCCTTCCTTTTCTGGGGACTTGGGGGCAGATGTGGAATGATGCACAGGAGGAAGGAAGCAGTATTTTTTTTGGTCAGGGCCTATGTAGCCTAGACTTTCACCCTTATTGGTAAAGACTTGCCTCCTTGATAGGTCATAATATCATAAATTTAGAGCAAGAAGGGACTTTACAGGTCATCTAGCCACAGTTACAATTGGGGAAAGTGAGATTCAAGGAGGTTAAGTTACTTTCCCATGGTCACAATCAATCAATGAATCAACAAGCATTTATTAAGCATCTAGTAAGTACCAGGCACTGTGCTAGGTGCTGAGGACGCAAAGAAAAAGCAAAACCAGTCTCTGACAGTAAGGAGCTGACATGCTGATGGGGGATACAACTTGTCCATAAATAGGTACATATGTGATACATACAGAATAGACGGAAGGGAAGGAACAAGCAAGTGGAAAGCCTTCCTGCAGAAGGTGGGATTTGAACTGAGTCCGAAGGACAGCAGGGATCCTAAGAGGCAGAGGGGAGGAGCCCGAGTGTTTCAGGCGTGGGAGACAGCCAATGCCGAGGCACGGAGGATAGGAATGGAAGGTTATGTGTGAGGGAGAGCAAGCAGGCTCGTGTAGCTAGACCGTGGAGTGTGTGAAGGGCTATAAGGTGCAGGAAGACTGGAAGGTTAGAAAGAGCCAAGCTTTAAATGCTAAAGAAGAATTTGTTTGATCCTAGAGGTAACAGGAAGCTACTGGGTTTTACTGAGAAGAGGAGCGACATGGCCGACCTGTGCTTTAGGAAGCTCCCGTTGGCCGCTGGGTGGGAGTGGGGAGAGTTGAGGCTGGGAGGTCACCTAGAAGGCCTTTGGAGTGGTCCAGGTGAGAGGTGATAAGGGCCTCAGCTCAGGTGGTGGTTGTGAGAATGGGGAGAAGGTGTCAGATGTGAGAGATTTTTGTGGAGGTAGAAATGACAAGATTGGAAACTGATTGGATATACAAGGTGAGTGAGTAGAAGATACCATGCAGATTGCATACCTGGGTGGCCTAAAGGTGTTATGTGGCAGAGCTGAATCTAGACTCAGCTGTCCGGACTCTAAATCCAGCACAGTTTTAATACATCATGCCCCATTCACATCTTTCTTTTCTGTTCCCAAATTAATTTAGGGGTAAGAGCCGCTTTATATCCCCAGCCTCCTTCTGACTTTGGTGTTGGGGGTACATATTAAAAACAAAACCAATCTCTGCCCTGCCCTCACGTCCCTTACAGGTATAAGAATGTAGGGGCAGCCAGGTGGGGCAGTGGATAGAGCACCAGCCCTGGAGTCAGGGGGACCTGAGTTCAAATCCGGCCTCAGACACTTGACACTTACTAGCTGTGTAACCCCAATTGCCTCACAAAAAAAAAAAAAGGAATGAGATGTCAAATAAAGTGGCATCAACATCAATAGGGTTGAATGTCAGACTTTGGGAGGGTCTTGCCATGCTCAAGATGGCGGTGATTCTGGAATGGTCAAGGAGAAGGTGAACGTCATTGTTCTTAGAGATATCTGAGTTTAGAAGAGAACCCCATCTCTTTAGCCTGGAGAGGAGATGGGGGGAGGAGGGCTCTGTCTAAGTGAAAGGAGCTGATCCAAATCTCTTTTACCCGAAGGCAGTGCGTGTAATGGAAAGAGCACAGGACTCAGAGTCAGGAGATTTGAGTTCTAGTACTATCTAGCACTGATGATCAATCAATGAACACACTTTTTATTAAGTACTTACTATGAGACAGGAACTGTTTGAGGTCCCTAGGGCACAAGTACAAAGAATGAAACAATCCCTGTTCACAAAGAGCTTCCATTCTAATGAAGACTACAAGCACATTTATATAGGATAAATATATAGAGAATAAATTCAAAGTTGTCATATGCAAGGTAGTTGAAAGGAATGGCACTAGCAGTGGAGAGGGAAGGCTTCATGTGGAAGGTGATCTTGAATTGAGTCTTTAAGGAAGACAGATTTAGTGAGCTGAAGGTTTGGGTGTACATTCTGGGCATGGGAATGGTGGGTAAAAGGCATCAAAATGAAATGGAGGAGCATGTGTGAGTAATAGAGACAAGGCAAATTTATCAGGATCACAGAGTGCAGGAGAGAGTGTAATGTTCAGTGAGGCTGGAAAAATGGCTTGGGACCAGACTGTGAAGAGTTTTAAAAGCTAAACAAAGGAGTTTTTATCCCAGAGGCAATGGGAGTTGATTGAGTTGAGGACGGGGGCTTGACATGGTCACATCTACCTTTAAGGAAAATCATTTTGGCAGCAGGGTGGAGGGTGCAGTGGTGAGAGCCTTTTAAGGCAAGGTAATACCCACCAAGAAGCTGCTGCAACGACCCAGATGAGAAAAGAGGAGGGTCTGAGCCAAAGGAGCAGGTAGCTGTGTGAGAGGAGGAAGCCTTAGACGAAGAAATGACAAGACTTGATAACTGTTGGATAAGTGGGATGAGGTGGAGTGCAAGTGGAGGATAATGCTGAGATGACAAAGCCAGGGGCCCTGACAGAGATGACGTCTGGTTTGGGACATGCTGAGTTTGAGATGTGTCCAGAACATCCAGTTTGAAATATCCAATTGGTGATTGGTGATATGGGACTGGAAGTCAGGGCAGAGACAGGACTGTGTGTGAGTCACCTGCATAAAAATGAGTTAAACTCTTGGGAGCTGATATGTGATCTTTGATAAGTTTCCACCTTTTAACATCTTAACCTCTTTAAAATAAAGAAGCTAGACTAAACGACCTCTCAGGTTCACTCTGTTTCTAAAACGAACAGATGTGTTACAGTGAAAAGAGCACTGAGTCTCGAGGCAGAAAACTTACATTCACATATCCTGTGATGCTTTGCTACCTGTGTGACTTGAGCAAATAACTTCACCTCCCTGATCCCCAGTTTCCTCACTTGTAAACCAAGGGGATTGAAGTAGATAGTCATCTGTCTCTAGGTCTATGAACACTTGACATGTTGGTGCCATTTTGGGAAATCCCTGCCCTCCCCTTCCAGCTCCAAAGATCAGTTGTAGTGAGTCTGTCTGGTGAACTGCTTTTGTAATCCTGGCATACAGATCCCTGAGATCTCTTCTTTTCTTTCTAGATCTGCTCTGTGTTCCTCTCAATGGCTTCTGAACAAGGAGAAAGTGGCAACTACAATTGGAGACAGTGTGTGTGTGAAGGGGTACAGAATGGAGTAAGGAAAAGGGGAAGGGGACCAGGGGAAATATTCACTTGGGTATGGAAGGATTTAGAGCCATTGAAGGTAAGAATCAGTAAGTGGTTCTGGCCTTCAACAAAGCCAAGGAGAGTGGGTCTCACGAAGAGCTACTCTTCATGAGTTCAGCCTTGGTGAGTTTGTGGGGAGAGAAGCCAACACACTTGGCCATTTTGAGGGGCACCAAGGAGCTAGCACAGAGGAGGTAGTAACAATGGCCTTTTTACCCGCTGTCCCAACTCGGGGTAGGATGAGGTGAGACTAGGGTTTCAATACTTCTTTATTCTTTGGAGATGCTCCATTTGAGGTGGTTCCTAATGCCCCTTTGTAACACAGATAGGCACAACATATATGCCTATATTTTTTTATGTACTCTCCTCCCTACGTATACCAACTTACTTCTCCATATGTGTCCTCATCCATAGCGTAGGCACTGTGACAACCTATATGAGAGACAATGTGGACAGAGCACTGCATTTGAAGTCAGTGAACCTTGGTTCAAATTCTGGCTCCTTTGTGATGTTGGTCAAATTACTTCAAATTATTTCTGGGATTCAGTTTCTTCATTTTCACAATTAAGATGTTTGATTACCTAATTTATGCCTTCTGGGCCCTACAATCAATTCCTGTACATCATACAGCCTCAAACAGCAGCATTCCTACATGCATGAAACCTGGCAGTGTGGGCACACCAGGAGTGCTCCTGCCCTCTCCTCCTCTTTTGGTGTACTTGCCACCCTGTAGTCTCTGCTTGCTTGGGTCCTTGCAGCTTTCAGGAAGTCCCACTCCCTTTCTTCTGCTCCTATGAACTCATCCTGAGTTGTAGCACCTAACCACCCTCCACAGGATCCTATTTGGGAAGCACTCCAAAGGTCCAGACAGCCTCTTCCCCAGGCTGAAAGTAATTCTGGCAAAGCCAGTGACTTGGGGACGTTGCATTCATGCCTCAAATGACATTTCATGCAATGGAGGGGACTTGTGGCCTTTCCTCTCCATGGTTTTCCCAGCCTTCCTTGCCTATATTCCCACCTCAGTGTGGCCATCCCTGCCACCTACAGGAACTCTCTGAAATAACATTCCCCTGGAGCAGCTGGTGTTTCTGCCCTTCTCTGCATTGCAGCTAGAGTGAACTGGATGTAAGAGTCCCAGGCTTCCAGGGCTGCCCTCAGAAAAAGGAGAGATGAGAGGCTTGGGAAGTATGGGAGAGCACAGGGCAGCCTACCTCAAGGAAGAGTATATCACAGCATTTGGAGGTGGGTCGCTGGGTGGTGGCCAAGTCTCCGAAGGCATCCCCCACTGCTTCAGAGACACATTGGCTTTCTACTTCATTTCCAAACTGCTGGATTCCGAACCTCCTTATCAGCATGCTGAACAGAAATGGCCTCTGGGCTGTTTCTTCTGGGATCTCCCATTCCAGGTTCAGCAATGATGGTGACTCCTGAACACCAGTAGCAACTTCTGCCTTCTCAATCAACTGGGGGTGGGGGTGGATGCCTAGTTGTGTCTAGTTAAAGGCTTCAGCAAGAGTCTGGACTCTTTGTGGGTGTGTATGGTGAGGTAGGGAAGTTTTTTCCCTTGTTGGGGCAAGGTGAGGCTTGTGCAGATGGAAAAGAGCAGGAACTGTTGATAGTGGGTGCTAGAAAAAGAACCCACTCTATATTTCAATCCTCCTGGCTTGCTCCCTATCTCTTCTTTTTCTTGCCCCTCTCCCTGTGCTACCTCCTTTTCGGCTGCTGACATCTCTTCTATTTTCTACCTCTTTTTGCCTTTCTGTCTCTGATAGTCTCTTTCAGTATCTCTCTTGGTCTCCTCTTTCTCCTCTCTCTTTTTTATCTCCATCCATCCATCATATATCTGTCTGTCTGTCTGTCTATCTATCTATCTATCTATCTATCTATCTATCTATCTATCTATCTATTATCTTTTTGTCTGTCTCCATATTTCCCTTCTGTAGGGGTATTTCTATAGAACAAGTCATTTCTCTTGCTAGCTTCCCCATCTGGGGTCTCTTTGATTGGAAGGGTAAGTTCCCAGTCACAGCTTCCACTTCTATCTGTGTTGAAGTCAGAACAAGACAAAACTGCAACAGGAAGTCTGCCATTTTGGGAGTTAGCCAGCCCTCTTGTTGCTCCCCAATCTTACTGACCCTTTCCCTTTTGCCTTAAGACTCTTGGACTCTGACTGCCTCCTGTATTCCCTTCAGATAGCAGGTGGGTGGGGGTTTGGAATATAATAATTCTCTGAAATATTCTATCTTCTCCCCCAGGATTTGTGTGACAAAGAAAGAAGATAAAACGAGCCATGTTGTCCAGCTAAAAGAAGGCTGAGGAGGCGACTGACTGCCATGTGTTTTCTAGAAAAAAAGACTTCCCAAAAGAGAAAGGCCTCTTCTTCCCTAGTCCCTTGGAAAATGGACCAAGAGGCAGAAAAGGTCTAAGATTCCAATGGGATGGACTTAGGTTAGTTTCCAGGAAAGACTTCCTGGGCTGTTCAGAGATAGAAACATGTGTAGGGAGGGAAGCAGGGTAACTTCTTCCCTGGAGAGCTCTCAACAGAGAAGTGATTCTCATTTGCTCAGACTGGACATGTCGGCCATAGAAGGGTGGAGGAGTGTTAGGATTCATGAATTCATAGATGAGAGGGAAGGCAAAGGAGGAAAGTGGCAGCTTTGATAGACATGAAGGGAAGGTCAGAAGGCAATGGATTGGTGGAAAGAAAACTCCAAATCCCTCTCAGTTTTCACTGATTCCAGCCTTTTGGCAGCAGGTTTAATGGTCTCCCTTTGTCAGGCAGACATTCCCCATTTCCTCCTTTCCCTCCATCCCACAGACCATGAAGAGCTGTCCGCTTTCTAGCTCTGGGCTCTTGGGTGAGGGTAGGGGCAAAAGAGAGGTGTCTGTACCTGGGGGGAAAAGAGGCAGAGAAGCAAGTGGTAACGTCCGAGACCCATCTCTGCAATGGCCCTGTCAGTGGCTTTGGTGATTGGTTTTGACAGTTGAATGAAGTGAGGAAAAGATGTGATGCTAGTGATTAAGGTAGGCAATGGGTCTATTGCCTGCTTGTCTTCTGGTGGGAGGTGAGGGCTGATAGCTTTGTACCCTACTGTCAAGAGAGGATGACATCCCATAAACCTCCAGCACTCTAGAACCCTCAGAGGAAGGGGAGAATCAGTAGAAGTTGGCTGTCATTTCCAGATTGGAAATGTTCGTAGAGAGAGGCTGATGGTAGGCTCAGGAGATAGTGTTAGCTGACACAAGGAAGGCATTGTTGGGGCATGCTGGGGACACTTGGGTCCTGATTCTCCAGAACATCCTTTGGGGTAAGGCACTGGCCCGATTAGCCTTTTTTTTTCCAACTAAAACTGGCTTGTCTGAGCTCTCAGGGGGGATGGAAAGGAGATCAGAAGAGTTTGGCAGTGACTCGGTTGCCCCCAGCACCTCGCTCCCCTGAAGACCGAGGAGGCACAAAGTCAAAGGTTGTGTGATGTTTGACCCGTCCCTTGCTTTTGCTCCATAGGGCAATGAGGCCAAAGCAGAGGGTTACAGAGGTGAGGAAGGGGAGGAAGCCAACAGCTAACACTACAACCAGGCCCCTGCTGTCCAGGAAGAAGGGTCCTGGGGTTCCCAGAGTGGTGGCATTGGTATCAGAAAGGGTCCCGTTTGGCGACTCAATCTGGATCACCTCTAACCAGGTGCTCAGCGAGTCACTCCCGGCTACATTGCTGAGCACACAAACATAAGCACCCCTGTCTCGAAGCTGTACTGACCGGATCTCCAGGGTCCCATCCTCGAGGACTCTTACTCGTCCAGTTCTTCCCAGACAAGTCCCCTGGGGCCCTCGCCATGAAATGGTAGGAGCTGGGTCTCCATCCCCAGAGCAGGAGAAGACAGCCTGCTGTCCCTCCTCTGCACTGACTCTCCGTGGCCCGGACCTCTGAATCAGGGCTGCTCTGCAAGTGAAGTGTCCTGGGGGCAGGATGTCTGAGAAGTCCTGTAGGTTCTTTCCCCTGACATGGAGTGGACTGGCACAGGCTGGGGGGGATTTGCCAAAGTCTAGGTGGTGGCGAAGCCGGAGTAGCCACAGCAGACGGCAGTCACAGATCAGGGGGTTGCCGGCCAGCCGCAGGGTGACCAGATTGCTGGGGGAGGGGAAGGCAGCTTCTTCCAGAGTCTGAAGGGCATTGTTGGCCACGTCCAGGAGGCAGAAGGCAGCCAAACCATGGAAAGCATGGGCAGCAATAGAGGCTAGGTGGGCCCCTGAGAGGTGGAGCTCCTGGAGCCGTACCAAAAAACTCAGTTTGCGGGCTGGGATGCTTGAGATGGGGTTCTGAGACAAGTCCAGGACCCTGAGGAAGCTCAGATGGCCCAGGGCTTGGAAGGGAACGGAGCTCAGGTTGCAGTGTGTGATGGCTAGATGGCTGAGATTGAGGCCAGCCAGGCTTCCAGGCTCCAGGACCCTCAGAGTTGGCCACTGGTGGATCTCTAGCTCCTGTAACTGCCCCAGTCCTCTCAGGGCTCCAGTAGGCAACCGACCAATGTCCAACTCGCGCAGCCTCAGCGCTGTCAGCCCTGGGAGTCGGGCCAGGGCAGGCCCAGGCACAGTGCTTAGGTTGCATCGTTCTAGGGTAAGGGTGCTTAGCTTTGCCAGTCCCACAAAGGCCCCTGGTGCCACAAACACCAGGTGATTGTCCCCCACTTCCAACTGCTGAAGACTGCCCAGCTCTCCAAAGGCACCATCCAGGAAGAGGACTATCTGGTTGAGGCTAAGATCCAGTAGGGTTAGGGAGGGTAAGCCAGAGAAGATCCCAGGGGCCACAATTCGGAGCCTGTTACCTCGAAGCCTCAGAGTGAGGAGGTTTCGCAGACCCTGGAAGGCCCCAGGTTCTAGAGTGGAAAGCTGGTTGTGACTCAGATCCAACTCAAGCAGTGGTCCCAGGAGGGAGAGCATTCCTCTTTGGAGGCCCCATAGGCGGTTTCTACTCAAGTCCAGGAGCTTGACGTCTGGTGGGATCCCTCCGGGTACTGCCTCCAGCTGCCGGCTGGCACAGATCACTGCTTGGGGTTGGGAGGCACAGTCACATGCTGCTGGGCAGCCTCGGCCACTCCTTCCAGCCAGAAGGAGCAAAAAGAAGAGGGGCAGCCAAGAGGCTGAGGCCCAACGGGAAGCTATGTCTATGTCCATTCCTTCTTTGCTTCTGGAATAAATGATGATGTGTCCTTTTTTGGAAGGCGGCAGCACCAGACCTCCCTTCATTCTGGGTACAGACACAGGATTTCCTTGGGGATTTTTGAGAGGTGGGAGGGAGGAGAGACTGGTGTTTTCAGTTTGGGCATTGCTAACGTGTGGGGCACAGGATCTTATAGAATTCAGGCTTGACTCTCTACACCCCAGAGTCCTCTCTGGCATCCTCTCCCCACCCCTCTGCACCCTAACCTTTATCTAGAGTGGTTGTGACTTGAGGTTCCCACTGTGTCTCTTGGTTCCATGGCTTCTGGTGGGTGCTAAGTCTGGTCTTGGTGAAGAATGTTGGGGAAGAGTTCAAGGGCTGGTGTAGCAAAGTGTCCTCTTTATGCTGTGGGATCTCTATCAGTTTGGGCCCCTCCGGTCCTTTATCTCTTGTGGCTGCCTTCTCCAGTTACCTCTACCTCTCTACTTACCTGGAGCCATGCCTGGTAGGCAGCATGGATGGCTTGAAGTTCCGTCTATAGTTTCCCTGAGTCTCAGGGGTGTGTGTCCATGGCCCAGAGCTCCCTGTCTTGTGAGGAGAGAGGCCCTTACGTCCTGACTTTATCAGCCTAGGATGGAGAAAAATGTTTCATTGAGCTCCAGGGGAGCCGTACCTGCTCTGCTTTGTAGCCTTGGAGAGCTAAGGGTCAGAAGAGCTAGCTTCTTGTTCCAGCCCTGCTGTTTACTAGCTTTTTGACTTTGGAGCAGCTCACGTTACAGCCTGTCTAAATGTCTTTATATAATAAAGCCTCCTTTGCTAACTTCACAAGCTGCCTGTGAGAACCAAATAGAATAGTGGCTGTGGAAGCATTTTCCGAAGTTACTTCACAAATCCTAAGCATTTTTATTATTGAGGGTGGGACGCCCTCACACAGTGGGAGGGGCTGGGATCCAGGTGCTCTCCCCATGGCTTCCACACTGCTCCTTGTGGCCTGGCTGAGGGTCCAGATCTGTCTCTCTGGGCTAGGGAGATCCAATTTCCCCGGAGTAGTTGTATGGATGACAGCCAATCTGCACATTAACCATGGCACCGAGTAGAGGACTGCAGTATTGAGAACTGGGGTAAAGGGCTTTCCCTACCTGCCGTCCCCCAAGAAGGGATGGACTCAGGGGGATCATTTGGAAGCTAGGCATGCCCTATAGGAGGCTTAGAGAGACATTCTCAACAGCATCTCTCCTTTTCCTTATAAAGGGTAGTCATGTTAATATGCATGAGAAAGAGGGAATGCTCAGATTATGGTCCAAGAATTTTGCTGCTCTTAGGCCCTTTAAATGGCGGTCTGATCCTGCCTTAGGGGCATCCTGCTCTCTTCTGTTCTAGATTCCCGAAAGAGAGAGAGAGAGAGAGAGAGAGAGACAGACAGACAGACAGACAGACATAGGCAGAGATAAAAGGATACACGGAAAGATAGGAATGGAGGGAGAATGCCTAGTGAGAGACCTCAGAAGCTGGGTCACTCAGCTGGCACAGTGGCTATTGAGTCAGGCTTGAATTGGCACTATCCTAACCACAGGCAGTCTGCAGAGCTGGCTCACTGCAGGGCCTCGGGGACTGGGTGGCCAGACATCACCCAGACAACTGCAACTATGAATGACCATTAGGTAAGAGTCAGGGGTAGCAAGCAGGAGAAGTGAGGGTGGGGTGAAAGAAGAGAAAAGAAATTATCCCTTCTCTCAACTTTCCACCCCTAGGAAGAACATTGGATAGTGGGCAAAAAATGGCCAATGTGACTGAGCCCCAGGAACCGGTAGGGGTGGGCTTCAAGTCAAGGGCTTCTCCAGCCCTGGCCCCCTTTTTTGGGTGCAGGTGCTATAAGGTGCAGCCGACAAGGTCAGCTCTGTTTTGCCCTTTCTGTCAATTGGAAAATGGGAGCCTGAAGAGACAGTGTCACTTCTTGGTTTTTCCTGCAGAAGGTAGCTGCTACACTAGGCGCTAAAACTCAGGCGTAATGAAATTTTAAGACATTATAGTGAGAGGGATGCAGGGAAACAATGGAAGCCAGAGCATCTTCAATTTCCAGAGCTGGCTGGGTAGTAGTGAAATTAACCTGACTGCTGAAGTGAATGTTCTCAAGCCCGGCTCCCAGGTTTGTTCATCGAGCTTTTCCCTAGATTGAAGGATCTGCTGAGTGAGCCTCCCCTGCTCTGGCTCGGCTTTCCACCCGACCACCAGGAAGTTCACCCTGAGGGGTAGCATCATTCCTGATGCTGCAGTTCCTGCTCATTCTTTCTTATGCTCTACTCAGTAGAGCTGTTCCTCCTTATAAGGCAGGTCCCCTTTCCCTTCCCACCCTCATTCTCAGGTCGGGGAAGAGGGGTGGGCAAGGAACAGAAGGATTGAAGGATCTTTCCTTGGTTTATTTATTTATAGGGTATCTAAGAGCAAACTTTTCTCGTGATATCTCCATGGCTGCTCTACTGGCTTCCTGCCAGCTGGCAAGAGAGAAGGGAGAGGTGTCAGTCCCACTTCTTTTTCCTCCTTAAATTGCAATGGATGAAATGGGGAGGGGTGAAGGAGAGAAAGCATAGAGAGATTGAGACAATCAAAACATTTGGAGAAAGGATCATCTCTTCCTCATGTTTGAAGAGATTCCTCCTTCCCAACCTCTATGCTGCAGTCTTGAGGACGCATTTGATGCCAGCCTAAACTATCATGTCCCCTCTAAAAGGACCCTGTAACCACCCAGATTAGAGTATATGGGTAGGGAAGATGATGAAACAGAGAGGTAGATTTCGGGCACAATCAGGTCAGAATCACCATTGCTTGGCTAAGGATCCCTTCCCCTCCCCCCCAAAAGGGAAAAGAGCTGCGCTTGGATTTCTTTTCCATAGGCATAGGGCACCAAATGCCCTTTGGCTCCTCCTGACAAAGCCCATCCTATGCGTCAGCAACCAAAGAATAGGATGGTTTGGGGGCTGGGAAATCTATCAGACACCCTTGGTCTACTACACTCTGAAAATGCAATGGAAATGAGGAAAGCTGCCTAAAGATAAGAATGGGGGATAGGATTGGGACTGAGGAGGAGGCACTTACCAGGGAGATCCTGGGAGCTTCATCAAGTTGGGCACTGCATCCTGTCTGGGGTTCAGTGCTCCCATCCAGTCTGTGCCTTTGGACCCCTGGACCTCTCTAGCACACCCACTTTCCCTAAGGCTTGCCTGCCAGTCTCTGCTGCTCCCACCAAGGTAGAGAGAACTGGAAAGGATTTCTCTCTCTTTTCCCTTCTCTCTCTTTTCAAACCAAGTGAGAATGAGTCTGCAGCAAACCCGTTGGTGCAAAATAAATAAATAAAGTCTTAGGGGAGGGCTGCAGCAGGAGCCACTGATACAGGGCAGAGAGAACCAGGGAGCAAGAGAACCTATAGGAGAGCACCGGGGCTAGGGGAGGATAGCTTTCCCATTCAATAGGATCTCTCTGGCATTTAGGAATACCCCTGTAGGATTATAATAAAGGCTATCATAACTGAAAGGGGCTTTAAAGCTCATGTAGTCTAATCTTATTTTATGGATGAGGAAACATGATCCTCTTATAAGGTTATAGACATTGAATATTAGAGCTGACTTGTCAGAAATCATCTAGTCCAACCCTCAAATTTTACAAATGAAGAAACTGAAACCCTTTCATTTTGGGCCCCTCTGTGAAATGTTTCCATCCAAACAGCTAGGGGGAGATTGGCCCATAAGACCATTGCTTTAGAGCAGAAAGTTACTGTTAAAAGGGCAAATACAACCCCTTCATTTTAAAGACATGGAAGCTGAGGCCCAGACTTGCAGTAATTTCACACAGCAAGTGCCTGAAGCAGGATTTGAACTGTCTTCCTCACTCTCAGACCAGAGCCCAAATCACCATACCATACCACGGTGAGAGTCGATTGTGGTGCTGATGGTTTTCTCTGGCGCAGGAATGAAATCAGTCGGGTCATCTGGGTAACCTTGTTTAACTTTGGCCAATGGTAGTGCAGACATTTTTGATTTTCTCACTGCAACTGTTGTTTTCTGCTCTCTCTAGCCTCCCTCTCCATCACCTTTTAAAATTACCTTATAAAGAATGACACAAATCTAGAATTGCGTTTTCCCTTGTTACCCTTCCCCAGAGAGTAAAAGTAATGAGATTTTCAGCTTTCATCACTCCCTTCAACTGCCCTACACCACCAAAGGGTAGGACAGTAATCATTTGTAAGGGTGTAAAAAGTCCAGGGGCAGGATAGAGGTCTTGGGGGGTATTTGAGGGCTACCTTCAACCCCTCTCCCCTCTCCACCCAGTCTGTGAGCCTGGAACTGACATTTCGCAGAATGTATGATACTGTGTCATCTTCTCCCCAGAACAAGGAGCAAGTGTGGCGGGTGGGACAGAGGGGATCCTTTGAGGACATGGAGGTGGTGTCATCAACTTCGGTTGTCTCCTTGGTCTGTGCCCAGCTGTTCTTACTCATGTTGATGCCATGAGGTACAATGGCCGAATGCTGCTGACACTATGCTGAGAGGTGGCAGCATCCCAGACCTAAAGCAGGAATTCTTAAGGACAGTGGAATTCGGAAGATCTGCCTCATCATTCTTCCGGGATCTCCAAGTACTAGGGACTTCTTCCTGAAGCCCCATATGGGTGTGATTGCGGATTTGGATAGGACCTTGTTTATGTATCTTTAAGTGTTTCTCCTTTATATGAACACTTATATGGCTTGTGATTGTATCAATTCCTGTATCCTGTGTATAAAGTGCATGTGACTTTTGTTCTCATCTTCCCTTCATATTTGTTAACCTGGTATTGTTCCCCATCACCCCTACACACTGAACTCTTGCAGTTACTATCTCTACTCCTCCCCTTCTCCACCCCTGCCCACACCATTAACACATTTAGTTTCTCCTAAGCCCCCTGAAAAGGCAGTGAAGAAATGTGGCTGTTCATTTTCTATCAAAACCTGGAAGAAAAGGATGGAAAGATGAACTTCTGGGTGATGTATAAAATGAACAGTTCCTTTTGGGTTTGAACTGTCTTTGAACTTGATCTAGCTTCCCTGGCCACAGCCCTCTGGGAAATGAAATGAGGTATTTCAAAAACCCCCTCTTGGGTTCAGAGCTAAGAATTGGAATTTGTCCAGTGTGGCCCCCCGAGTTTCTCTGCTGCCTTGATTCGTCTCTTGCCCATATCCACTATCTGCTCCTTAGGCCTCAAAGAAGCTTAGAGGGATGGGGAAAATGAAGCTTCATAAAGTTGTAGCTGGTGAGATCCCAGCATCTCTTCCCTCTAGCCATCTATACTACTGCCAGACTGGTCAGTAAGGGTGAGCCTGCTTCAGGGAATGAATTCAATCACTTGGCCTGAATGGTAACTTACCCCAGGCCACTTCTGGAGGCCATGGGAAGGGGTGGGGGTGGGAGGACTTGGAGAAAGCAGATGATGGTTGGGCAGTGGGGAGACAGCTGTGGAGGGCTTGAGGTTAGGACAGGAGACTGTGGTGGGGAGGGGAATTGGCCATTCAGCTCAATCAGATAGCACTCCAGGGGGGCTCAGTTTCTGTACTGAAGAGTTCCTTGTAGAGCGGAGGGAAGGCAGCTTGGACAACAACAGGATGGAGGTGCTGGAAGGATTGCAACTCCTCCACGTGCTGGCTACATAAGCTCCGAAGCTTCCCTTTGGGTGGCAGCTGGAGAGAAGTGGGACCGAAAGGGGAGATAAGAAAATCAGGGCCAGATCTCCAGTCCTGACCACCCCTTCCTTGAAGCCAAATGGCTTAGCTGGCTTCTGTTATCCAAGATCTCTGAACTTCATTATTCTCCTTTAGAACAGAGAGGGCATGGGAGAATTAGGGTGGTAGAGAAGAGATATTTTTTCTGAAGAAATGTCTATGTTTGAGGTGACAATGATGATGACAGTGATAGAACAAAGAAAATAGGAACTGGGGAGTCAGTATGACAAGTTCAGTGAACCAAGTCAAGCCACATTCTTTGAACCCACCTAGTTCAGTAGGCATGGCAGCTTAAGTCATAGGAAGGTTTAGGAAATGGTGAGATTAAAGCCCTGGGGGCTAAATGTAAACGTCCCCTTGGATGGGTTCCAAGGAGGAGTTGGAATCCCCCTTAACCTAACCTGGATCAATTGCTCCAAAGAACTAGGGCTAGCTCCTTGACAACACACAGAAAGATAGAATTGAAGAAATTCAGGAAGGCACCTCCAAATTCATTCAACATCCATTTTAACTGCTTCCCAACTAGTTTCCTCATTTGTAAAACAGAAGGCTAATAATACCTGTTGTATGGACCTCGAAGGGTTGTGACAATTAAATAAGATAACTGACCATTTAAAAAGTGCTTTTAAGGTTTGTAAAACACTTCAGACAAATTGTCTAATTTGTTCCTTATAATGACCTGGCAAATTAGGTACCATAAATATTATTTTCAGGAAATGGAGGATCAGAGAAGCGACCCACCCATAGTTACATCCTGAGTCAGTCTCAGGAGTAGTATTCCAAACCAGATGTTGTCTGATTCCAAGACCAGTTCTCCATTTGTACCAGCCTGCCTCAATGGTATTAGCTCATGTTTATATAGGACTTTTAAGAGTTGTAAATAGCTTTGAGATTACCCGTTATCTATAAAAGTAATTTTCTAAACTTTAATTTTTATTTTTTTATTTTTAGGCAATTAAGGTTAAGTGACTTGCCCAGGGTCACACAGCTAATAAGTGTCAAGTGTTTGGCCTGAGGCCGGATTTGAACTCAAGCCCTCCTGACTTCAGGGCCAGTGCTGTATCCACTGTGCCACCTAGCTGCCCCATTTTCTAAACTTTAAAAGTTATATAAATAGCAGTTATTGTTACTTTGCAGATACTGAATTTGTCAAAAGCTTCATTGCCAGTAAGTAGAGACCAAGGGACTTGAACCCAATCCTTCTGATTAGGTTCAGTTGTCTTTCCCCTTGATCTGAGCCCTACTTTCTGGGCTTCCTTTCCCATACCATGTTTTGAATTGTCCTGGGGGATGGGGGTAAGACGCCACCAAGTATTTTTATTTAGTTAAAATCAGGTCAAGTGAACACCAAAGTTAGCCTTGGAGAATTGAAGATGACATAAAAGGTCAATGTGCTGCCTAAGGGGAATATGTGAAAACACATTGCAGCCAGAAGTCCTTTGGTCGAGGGTCAGCTTTGGGGTGTTCAGGTAGAGTAGCCCTATCAAATACAACCATTCTCCTATTCTTCAATCACCAAACCTTTCTAGAAGCTAGGCCACAGTGGCAGCTGTGTGAATACAGACACTGGGAGGAAATGTTCCGGCATCTCCCTGTCCTCACCCTGATCACCTTTCATTCCAGACAGTTTGGTTCAGACCATTCACAACCTCTGAGAGACAGAGACAGAATAAGAGAAGAACAAGTGTGGAGGCAGATGTGGAAGGATCTAAGAGAGGCGGAGGAACTGAGAAAGCCTATCTGTCCCTCAAAATCACAGAATGTTAGAGCTGAAAAAGATCTTAGAGATTGTCTAGTTCAAACCCATTGCTTCATAGATAAGGAAACTGGGCCCCAGAGATTTGCTCAATGCTGTGATGGCTGAGAAGTGGCAGCGCCAGCAATCAGCCCCACATCTTCTGATCCCAAATCGTCCTCCCCTTAAGATTTTTGTTTGACCTTCCTGGAGATACGGCCCACATGAGGCTCAGAAGCCACTACTACGGTCTTGTTTGCTCTTTAGGAATGAATGCACTCCAGCCGCCATTCCCCTGGGTCCTTAGCTCTTTGGTAGCAGTGGGGCCGGTGGTTGAGAGCTGGGCTCAGTGGAGCATACAAGCGTACTGGCTCCCGTGTGCTCCCTCCATCTCCCTCCTCATAGGCAGCTCACCTACCTTAGCCAGGATGCCTTGGCGGTGAGTCTTGCACAGAAGATGGTGAAATGCCAGCTCCAAACTGTGCTGCAACTGCTCCACCTTCCTTTTCTCTTGTAACCATGGCCTGTCTGGGCAGAGGAACCAGGCCATAGTGGGGATGGGGAATTGGAGCCCTTGTGGTAGGTAAGCCAATGTGCCTACTCTCTGAAAAGAAATGAGTCTGAGCCCGAGAGTCCCCATAAAGGGAAAGGATTAGTTAGGGGGATGGCTTTGGTAACTGAGCTTGGCTTAAGGGATGCAGGAAAACTGGGAAAAACTGAGAGTTGAGATACTCTCAATTCCCAGTTCACTTTATTCCATGACCTCTATTGTCCTATGTGCTAAGAATCCTGATCTATGGAGCCCCACTATCAGGGCTTCCCGTCCCATCCCATGTTTTGAATTGTCCTGAGGGATAGAGGGAAGATACCACCAAATATTTTTATTCAATTAAAATCAGGTCAAGTGAACACCAAAGTTAGCCTTGGAGAATTGAAGATGACATAAAAGGTGAACATGCTGCCTAAGGGGAATATGTGACAACATGCTGTATCCAGGAAGTTAGGTCACCTTACACCTCCAGACCCCATTATATTTTATGTATGTCAGTGTCTATCTAACCCTCTAGACCATGCTTCCCCAGCTGATCTTGGACTTTTAGGAATCTGGAACCAGCAAAAAAGCAAAACCAAAAATAACTCTAGATTTGGGGTAGATGAAATCAGGCACCATGATTTAAAGTCTTCTCACACATACAACATGTTTCAGTGGATTGAGAGCTGGTTCTAGAGCCAGGAAGACATGGGTTCAAGACCTGCCTCTACTGACTGTCATCTGACCCCTCTGTTCTAGGTAACTTTCTAAGACTATAAGTTAAAGAGAAAGTGATAGCCTCCATTGCAGAGGGAGTTTCCTCCTCTGGGAGATCACCATACCAATGGAATCTTCAGTTCAGCTCCTATCACCTATTCTTCCACCTCTCCCTCCTTCTTCCTGCCCCCCCCAACTCTCCAGCCCCCATAAAGAGGTGGTGGCTCTCGCCACCTCTGGCAAAGGGCATACATATACTTTATTAAGATAGAACTTAATTCCTAGGGATTCACTACCAAAATAAGATGTTCCATCATTTGGGGTTGTTTCCTTAAGGGTGTGTGTGTGTGTGTGTGTGTGTGTGTGTGTGTGTGTGTGTGTGTGTGTATGTGTGTATGTGTGTGTGCTCTTATTTTAAAGGCACAATCTTTAAATATACCCACATTTGGACTGAAATAACAAATGTGGATGTATTTAGGAACAAAATTATACGGAATCTGATCTGCCCCCTTGTAACCATTGCTCTATCCAAGGGAACCAAACCTGTCTTAGATAACTTCAGACTCAGAAGAGTACATGGCAATAAACACATGTATGCTGTGGCATCAGTGCTTTTTCTGGACCTTTCCTTTCAGAAAATGGTCAACCCAGAGCTTTGAAATCAAACAAGACTCATACACATAACAGTTAATTTAAACTAACCTGAAGGCTCACTCTATCTCTCTTTTATCTGTCCCCAAGTCAAAGAGGTTAGAACTGTCTCTTTTCCCTTGACACTCAGTTTCTTCATCTACTATGAGAGGTTTGGACCAGCTAAAGGTCATAGGCTTTCAGAATTGGAAAGGACCATAGAGATCATCTAGTTCAAGATTCTTATTTTACAAGTGAAGAAACTGAGGCCTAGATAGGTAAAGCAACTTGCCCAAGGCCACATAGGTGGCAGAACTAGGATTTGAACCCAGGCCTTTTGAGTCCAAATCCAGTGGTCTTTCCATTACACCACAACAGATCATTTCAAGGTCTAACCTTCATTGGGTCTGCCATATTTCTATGTACTGTCTCCCAAGCTTCCCTTCTGTAGCTTCTTTTCTTCCTAATGGCTCCTCCTGATGTTCATTTAATTCAGAATAAAATTATTGGGGTAGATAGGCACAGTGTAGATTGCTCCAAGCCTCAGCTTTCTAGAGGCATCAAGTTTCTTCTCTGTGTTAATGGTTCTTAGCAATTAAGTACTGCTGTGCCCATATATTCCAATATCAGGCTCCATTCTTATCCCAGCATCTTGTCTGCCCCCCCCCCACACTTAGGCACTTCAAAGCCCTGCCACAACTTACTGGCATTGATGAGGACAAGGGCAGTGTAGAGAGCGATCTCATCCTCAGAGAAATGCAGAGCACACAGGGAGTGGGAGAAGTCAAAGATGGAGCCAATGAGTTCACTGCAGCCTAAAAGAAATTGGAAGTGTGGGGAGAGTAAAGGAGAGTTTGTTGAATTGAGAGGAGGGGGACATTTGCTGTTGAGGGCCCAACCCAGAATCTTGCCTTGGGGTGACTGGGGGAAAGGAAGTAGCTGGTCTTGAAATAGGAGTGTACTGTGTTTGACAGTGGGTTGGAACCAGGAACTTTCACGTTCCCTTCACTGGCCCTCACCCAAGGCTCTGAACACGTCCACGCCTCCATATTTGCCCTCAAAGAAGACTGTGCGATTGTCAGCATTGTAGGCCCGGCACATCCTCACCAGTACCACCTCCATAGCCCCTGTGGGGAGGGAGTGGGAGGTGAGAAGAAGGGAGAAATGGCAGAAGAAAACATCTGCAAAGTGGAGAGTGGTACCAAGGTAATACCCCAAGCTCAGCCCCAAATCCATCTCAGCTCCCACAATGGACAAGAAACCTCCTAGTCTTTTTGGCTCTCTTCCTGAGAACCTCTCCCTTTAGGTCTTTCTAGACACCTTCCCTGACCTATACCCAGCATATTCTCTGTCCTCACCCCTCCAGTCCCCAACACGAGCCTTCTTAGCCCACTCCTGGCACCTGCTTTGAGCAGCACAATCTGGTCATTCTGACACAGCTCCATGAAGCCTGCTAGCCTTTTGGCGAATTCCACCACATACTGGATGGCCTCAGTGAGCCGATGGGCACAGCGTTCCCACATCTCCCACATTGACTTGGGATGGGAGAAAAACCACCACAGGGAAGAGAAAAGACACAAGTCAGAGCCCCCCAACCATGACCAAGGTTCCTTCCACCCTCAACCCCATATGACCCCCTGGGATCCTACTCTGATTATTTAACTCCTTCACAGCATTCAGTGAAGGAACCCAAGCAAACTATGGTCTGCGTTGTTTCCTGAAATCACATACGTGCACTAACATGTAGCGTAGACATACAAAAAATGTATTGACAATCAGCAAATATTTGAGTGCCATTATAGACACCATAGTGTAGTGGAGAGAAAACTGGATTCAGAGTCAGTAGATCTGGATTTGAATCCTGGCTCTACTACTTATCAGCTACGTAACCCTGGTCAACTCTCTTCCCTCCTCTGGGCCTTTCTTGACTTCTGTAAAATGGGAATGATGATATTCACATTCCCTACCTCATGGAGTTGTTGCTAGGGAAGCACTTTTGTTCTGGAGCATGGTCAGCTCTAGAGCTTTGAAATTTGGCAAGGCTCATATACAGTTAATCTATAGCACTTAAGGTGCTATAGAAATGTGAACTATTATTCCAAGGCATTATGGGGAATTCAAAATGTGTGCAAAGGAGGTCCTGCCCTCATGGAGCTTTTAGTCTAGTTGACGAGAGGAAGCATGTATACACATGCTAAATACAAAGTAGTATATATAGTAAGTCCCCAAATGAGTGATTCATTTTGTAAGGAACTCAGAAGGAAAGATCACTATTGGGATTGAAGTAGTTAGGGGAAGGAGCTAGAATTTAAAGTAGGCCTAGACTGGGCAGGCGTTTACTAGAGAGGAGTGGTGAGGACATTCAATGAGGTGCGAACAAAAGCCACAATTCTGAGATTCACATTGCTGAAGTGGAAAGGGTACCATATTGGGGAGTCAGGAGACCTTGCTTTCCAGTTCCATCTCAGCCACTTACTAGCCATATGACCTTGGGCCAGTCACTCCCTTTCTCTAGACCTGAGTTTTCCCCATCTGTAAAATGAGGGTGTTAGACTAGATGAACATTTGGTTCCTATCCAGTTCTGAGATTTTTGAGACCAGTTTCTCAACATACTGACATCCATAGATGTACATACCTGAACAAAACTGTGTGCAGACACAACTTCCCTCACCTGGGTGTGCATTTGTGTGTGTGTGTGTGTGTGTGTCCCCCTCTCTTTCTCTGGACTTTCCTGATGACTATGGAGCTGCCTTACCCTTTTGGTCTGGCCCCTGAATCATTACCTTTCTTTGGTAATTGGTCACCTCCTCCCGGGAGAAGATGTTGGAACGTTGCCTCTGCAAGTCCTCCAGTCGAAGCTGACAGGTCTCTTGATAGGACTTACAGACGTTTTGGATCAAGTGCTCTGCAGCCGGAAAGGCACACGCTGAACCTCAGTTCTCCCCTGCCATACGGGAGTTCCCCCCATTAGACTATCCTCCCCTCTGGCTTTCCACCTAGGACCATCCACCCCTCATGACTGAGTTTCGGTGTGTCTCTATCTTTTCTTCGAACTCTGTCTTGGGAACCCCTAGGAATCCGTTACCCCTCCCTGACCTCAGTTCCTTCCCTATCTTTCCTCTCTACTTAAAGAGAAGCTGCCTGGCTGGTCCTGCCCCCATCTCTGGCTGCTTACCAATCTCAGTCAGGGAGGCGTTGGGGAGTTCGAGGCGGAAGCTGGGGCTGCTGTACAAGTCCCTCCCTTGGCTTGGCTCCCCAAGCACCAGATGTCGGGGTTCCCCAATGTGGAGTTCACACCTGTCAGAGGACAGCTGGCTCCCCAAGCCATAGAAAGCTCTGCCGACCTCCACCTTTGCCCGATCGGGGCTGTACCCCCGGGAGTACACAGCCCCGGCCAGCCCCATTTTGGCCAGACTATTAGGGTAGGAGGGTCCAGGGCCTGGGGTGCTGAGAAGGGCAGGGGGGCAGGCAGAGGCCTCAGGCAGGTCAGGTGAGGAGCCCAGGGGTAGCTGTCCATTGGGGAGGGGAAGGGTATAGGCAGGGGTGTCTGCTCCTCTGGTCCCTGCAGGTGGGGGAGTGGTCACTTGCTGCTGCTGCTGCTGCAATTGCTTCTGCACCTCGGCATGCAAACTGTCTCTCTGCTTCTTGGACATTCGGCCAAACTTGACAGCTGGAAGAGGCCCGATGAGAGATCAGAGTTGTTGGGGTGAGAGGTGGTGGAGAAAGAGGTGCCTCTGCATGATTGACAGCTGGCTGGCTGACAACAGACCCTCTTCTGTCTTACTCTGACTTCCTCCTTGGAGAATCTGTATCCTCCAGTGGACCCCACCGTGAGGCCCTCTCTCACCTTTCTCCTTCCAGGTGTTCCAGGGACCTGTCTGGTTATGTTCTTCCTACATTCCACGCTGCAAAGTGATACTACCTTCCCAAAGCGATGCTATCAAGAGTGGGGAAAGCAGGAAGGCTAAAGCATCTGGACTCTTTGACTATGGGATGGGGTTCTGTATTGGGGTCACCCCCCCTTGCCCAGGAGGCAGGAGGAAGAAGAGCTGGGAGAGCTGTGAACACAGGTCTCCATGTGGTCAGGCATACAGGCTCCCTGGTGACCTAGATACACACCACAGCCCAACCCAGGGCTCAGCGGCTTGTTTCTGAACATCCTCTTCTGACTCTCTTTCCTGCCCCTTCATTCCCCCCTCGCTCCCCGCCCTTCTACCCCCTTCAGCCCCTCCCAGGTGTGGAGGCACAGCCCCCCTCTCTGCCTCCCTTCACACCCCAGGCCAGCTCTCCGCCTGTGTGTTTCCTTTTGCTGGTTATTTCAGGCACTGAAAAGTGCTGACAGGTTCCTTCTGGTTTCTTGTGTCACATCATCCCATCCTCCCCTTCTTTCCTCCTCTTGTTCCCCCCACTAACTCTGCCTCTTCCCTCAGCTCCCTTGTCAGTGGGGTGTCAGGTGAGTGGCTGGGGAGATAGACAAAAGGCTCAAATCTTCTATTCCCCCGACTCTTTGCTAGGAATTGTGGCTATTTTCAGTCTTGCTCACTCACTGGTCCAACTTTTCCTGTTAGCTCCCAGGGACCAAAGAGAAGTCATTTCATTTCTCTCTCTCTCTCTTTTTTTTTTTTGGTATCTGTATCCCAGCACCTAGCATAGTAGATGCTTAATAAATCCTCACAGGGGGAGAGGTATAGGAAGTAGGGAAGAGGGAGAATAGGGAACCAGGTGGGGTCTGAGGGATGGGGCCAGAGAAGAGAGAGAAAGAATTGGGAACCATCTAGCCTGGAGAAGAAAAGATGGAAAAAGACCAGGGCCTGAGGAATTTTTGGGGTGGGGAGGAGAGTCACCCTTCTCTGTTCACATTTCTGTAGTCGCTTTAGCTATAGAAACCATTTTCCTCATAAGACCCTTTTGAAGCAGGTAGTACAAATATTTTTATCCCTATTTTACAGATGAGGAGAGAGAGGAACAGAGAAGTTCAATGACTTTTCCAAAGTCAAAATTAGTGAGTGTTAGAGCTAGGACTTGAAACCAAGTATCTCTTAACTCCAAAACTATTGCTATTTTGGCTAGCCCTACAGAAGTCTAAGATTTCAGGAAGCACTTTGATGTCTTCTGCCTGCTTAGCTAGTTAGGACCCCCATTTACAGACTCCATAGAAGGAGGGGTCCTGAGTAGCAGCCAGGGAGCCTTCCCTGCATGGCCTCACCATCCCGGGACATGCCCAACGCCAGGCATTTCTGCAGGCGACAGTGTTGACAGCGGTTCCGACTGGTACGGTCTATGGGGCAGCTTTGCTGTCGGGTACAGGAGTATGCTACATTACATTGCTGGCTCCGGCGAAAGAAACCCTGGTGGGAAAGGGTTAGGATTAGAAGACTGCTCCCTTCAGATTCCTCAATTTCCCTGATTTCCCTTCACTCTATATCACCACATCTAGGGATAGAATGCTTGTGTGCGGAGATCTTCATTGAAAGACACGCTGGCCATCTCCCCACCTTCTTCCCTGGATGCTGTGTCTCTTCTGAGGACTATCCCTAGGATATTCCCAAGGATCAAATAGGGGCTTTTGAGTCCCACATTTCTCTGGCATGCCACTCCCCCCCCTCTGCTTGCCAAAAAGCATATGTGTATCTCACCTTGCAACCTTCACAGGTGATGACCCCATAGTGGATCCCAGAAGATTTGTCCCCACAGATCTTACAAGGGATCACTTCAATCTGAGCTGAAAGAAAGTATGAAAAAGAATGGATTAGACATAAACCAAAGTTTCACTCCCTTATTCAGTCTGGGTACTGAGTGTTCAGTTTCTCTCTCAAAACTTGGAGGGAAGCAGGAACCCCTGGAAGAAGCTGAATATTTGTGGGGGCTGGGGAGAAGACCAGGAAGTCAGGGAAGTAGCATCAGCTCTGTAGGGTGGCAAACACAGCAGATGTACAAAGAAGCCACCTGTTCCCCCACCCCCACCCCACCCTCAAGTCACAGAGACCCTTTATACTTCCCTCCCGCCTTAGGACCCAAGTCCCTTCTACTTTGCAGCACCTGCTTCCCGCCTGAGGAGCCCTGCTTTCTCTCTCTTCCCCACCCCTCACCCCAGGCTCTGCTCCCACGGGCAGAGTACGGAGCAAGTGAGGAGGATGTGGTGGGCTGGGCTAGGGGCACCTGGGCACCAGGCTCAGAGGGGGGAGGATTGGGCCCATGCTGTCGCAATATGCTTTTTGTGTTGAGTTCAAGAGATGACAGAGGTGGAGGGGATTATAGGGACACAAGTATAGTCGCTGTGGGGCTCAAAACAGCTTCTTGATGGGTACCTGGAAAGCAAAGGGTAGGACTGGCTTACTGATCCAGGATTTACATATGTGTATGTGTGTATGCTAAAGGGTGCGTGTATGGGCATGCATATAGACGTTAATGAGTTTGTATACTGGAATACATGTGTGCATGTAAGCCTGCTGGAGAGTATATATGCACAAATCACAATATCAGAGCTTGAAGGGACCTTGGTGGTAATTTGGCTTAAAATCCCCTAATTATAGACGAAATTGTGCACTAGGTGGCGCAGTAGATTGAGTACGGGCCCTGAAATCAGGAGGACCCGAGGTCAAATCCAGCCTCAGACACTTTCGAGCTAAGTACCTCCGAGCTAGTCACTTAATTGTTTGCCTCAGTTTCCTCATCTATAAAATGGGGATAATAATTGCACTCCTCTCCCAAGGTTACTATGAGGATAAAATAAGTTAATATTTCACACACACAAGCGCTATATAAATGCTGTTATCATTATCATTGATATCATCATTATTATTATAAAATGATTTACGCAAGATCACACAACCAGTTAGCGAAAGAGTGGTAGATGATGACGACTTGGGTTTCCTGACTCGATTTCTTGCTCTTTCCCTTATATCATACTAAGATTAAATGTGTCTAGTGCAGGGGTGGGGAACCTATAGCCTCAAGGCCACATGTGGACCTCTAGGTCCCCAGAGTTTGGATTCAGTTAAAAGGCCACACTTGAGGTCCTAGGGGGCCACATGTGGCCTTGAGGCTGCAGGCTTCCCACCCCTGGTCTAGTGGGTGTTAGAGAACCCTATGGCTTTCAGGAACTACTTAGGGGCTGTCATTAGGTCTAGTTTCCCTCATTTCCTTCAAGGCTTAGTTCAGGTTCCGCTTTCTACACAGAGCCTTGCCTGATTCCCTCAGCTGCTGGTGTTTCCTCCCCCAAATGACCTTGTATCTGCTGTGTATGGACACGGTGTCTTCCCTGGCTAGACCGTGAGGTTCTTAAGGGCAGAGACTGTTTCACTGCTGCCTGGTACATAGTAGGCACTTAATAAACGCTTTCTGATTCTGTGAATGAATTTTGTAACAGCAAAAAAGAATAGAGGGCACAAGTATATTGGCAGGTGTGGATTTTTGTGAGCATGCATATGTTTGAAATGGGACGTATGTGTATATCAGAGTGTGTATGGCCTTGTGCACATCTGAAGGCTTGTCAGCACGTCTGGCACCCAGATCTCTGAGGCCAGGACCCTCGTGTTTTCCCTCTCTCTTTGTGACTCTGGGGGTCTGTGCTTGCCCTGCTCTCCCCCCACCCCCATCCCTGTGGTTTGCTCCTGGCCACCAGGTTCCTCTCTCTTTGTTCGCTTTGTGCTTATCAGTGCCCTGCTGTTTCCCGACTAGTAGCGCAGGCCAGCACGCAGCCCCCCGGCGTGGCCTCCCTCCCTTCACCTCAGAGGGTAGCCCAGGGAGGCTGCTTCCAGCCACAGTAGATATTTTCGGTATTGCCGCAGGCCAAGCCCTCCTCTCTGGCCCCAGTGGGAGGTCACTGAGGCCCCAGTAGGGAGTGAGGGGGAAACCTGGGCAGGAAGGTGTAGAGGGGGTTTCTTTGGCTCTTCTATGTGTTGATCCTGCCTCCAAGGGTAGAGAACATAACACTTAATGTTACCTACTTCTAGACTCTCACCACTTACTTACACTGAATGTGGAATGTGGAATCGTGGATAAGGTCCACTCAGTTCACTCCAACACTTCCTTGGGGTATGGCCTTTCACTGAAGTAAATCAAGTAGCTCTCTATAATGAGGCATGGTGTTAGGTGGTGACCAATGCTTGAAAAGGGGCGATTCCTAGACACCAGAATGGTTTTACATTGATTATGACAGACTAACAGAGTTTTCATTTTTGACAGTGTATCTAAACTTTCAGGAAGACCCGAGTTTGAATTTGGCCTAGGACACTAGCTGTGTGATACTGGGCAAGTCACTTCACCCTGATGGCCTCAGTTTCCTCATCTGTCAAATGAGCCAGAGAAGGAAATGGCAAACTACTCCAATATCTTTGCCAAGAAAACCCCAAATGGTGCCTTGAAGAGCCAGACATGACTGAAATGACTGAACAAAAATCTAAACTGGAAGAAAGGCAGGATGGAGTAATGAATAGAGTCCTGGCCCTGATTCAGGACAACTTGAGTTCAAGTCCTGTCACTGAAATATACTGGCTATAAGACCTTGGGCAAGTGACTTAACCTCAAAGGGATCCAGACATTTAAGATTATAAGTTGAAGAAAAGTTGACAATCTGCATTGGAAGGAGTTTGCTCACTCGGGAATCCACTGCACCAATCACAGGCTCAACCTCCTTCCCCCATCAAAAAAAAAAAATTATACCGGGGCAACGTTGAAGATGTAGTGTGCCAAAATTTCAATCAATCATTTGATAAAGGCTCTTATGATATACTTCAGGATAAGTTCGAGGAACATGCAGTAGATAATACAATTAGGCAGACTTGGACTTAGTTGAATAACTAGGATGCTAATAGTACTAATTAATGAGACGACGTCAATTTGGAGGGATGACAATTTGTAGTGGAGAGATCCCTAGGGATCTGGCTTTGACCATTTGCTTGTCAATATTGTATTAATGACTGGGATTAATGTATGCAATTTGCAAAGGATAGGAAGCTTGAAAAGATAGCAAACCCAGTAAATGACATATTCTGGATCTCAAAAGATATCAGTAGGCTGAAGTGATGGATCAGTTTAATAGGATGACATCTAAAAGGAAGAAATGAAAAATCCTGTCCTTGGGTTCCAGACATCAACTTTGACCCTGTACAGGACAGAACGGTTGTGGCTAGCTAACAGTTCAAGTGAAAAAAGATCTGGGGGGCACCCAGCAATCCCACCACGACAAGGAGGTCAAAGGAAAACATTATGTACACAAAAAATATTCATAGTAGCGCTTTTTGTGGTAGCAAAAAGCTTGAAACAAAGTGAGTACCCATTGATTGGATAATGGTGGGATAGATTGTGGTGTTTGAATGCAACGGAATATTATTGTGCTGTAAGGCAGGACAAATATGAGGAATTTGGAGAAATATGGGAAGGCTTAGATGAACTGATGCAAATCACAGTAAGCAGAACGAAGTATACACAATGGTTATATAACGTAAATTTAAATGATATGAAAAGGCAGGGGTACTCTTGATTAATTGTAATGACCAATCTTGGCTCCAGAGAACAGATAATAAAACACAATTCTCTCTTCTTAATAGAGATTTGGGGGACTACAGGTATGGAATATTACATACACTGCCAGATGCAGTTATTCTATCAATCAGTTTTTCTGCAGTGTTTTCTGTTGTTATAAGAGAGGGGGTCAAGGTGGAGGTATACTAGGACACTACTGTGATATAAAAGCAAAAGGCATCAATAAAACTTAAAATTTTTTTAAGAGTTCTGTTAAAATCTTATAAAAGTGAATGTTGAAAGCTAAAAATAATTAAGGTAATTAATCTAAAAGAAAATGTTTAAAAGTTCTGTTAGTTTTAGTGGATTGTAAGCTTAGTACACATTCACAATGTGCCATAGAAGCCAAAATAAAAGCTAACACTATTAGAGGATACATTAAAGGAGCTGGCAGCTAGCTGGCGCAGTGGATAGAACAGATAGAGAAGACTCCTCTTCCTGAGTTCAAATCCAGCCTCAGACACTTGCTAACTGTGTAACCCTATGCAAGTCACTTAACCCTTAGTTTCCTCATCTGTCAAATGAGCTGGAGAAGAAAATGGCAAACCACACTAGTATCTTTGCCAAGAAAACCCCAGATGGGGTTCATGAAGAGCTGGACAGGACTGAAAATGACTGAACAACAAACACATTAAGGGGGGGACGGTATCCAGAATGAGGGGATGATGGCTACCGTGTCTGGGTTGAGCCATATTTGGAGTCTAATGTTCTGGGCATTATATTTTATGAAAAACAGATATCGAGAGGCATCAGGGTACTTGGTTTAGAGTCAGAGAATCCTGGGTTCAAGTCTTAACTCCGCCTTTAAGTAATTAGGTAAACTCGGGTGAGTCCAAATCTCATGAAAATGAAGGGTTGGAGTGGATGGTCTCTAAGGTCACTTCTGTGTGATCTATGATCCTATGAAAATCTACATTTGATTTATAGCTGTTCTTTTTGTGGTTGCAAAGAATTGGAAACAAGAGATGCCCATCAATTGGGGAATAGCTGAACAAGTTATGGTATACAAAGGTGATAGAATACTATTGTGCTGTAAGCAGTAAAGAAAGGGATGCTTTCAGAAAAACATGGGCAGACATGTATCTACTAATGCGAAGGGAAGTGATCAAAACCAGCACCATTTATACAGTAACAACAATATTGTAAAGATAAATAACTTTGAAAAACTAAGACTTCTCATCAACATAATGACCAACT